ATAAAGCTATACAACAGTTCTGATAATCGGTTTGTTTTTGATGGCCACAGTCAGGTTACCAGACTGAAACTGAACATAAGGATCAAGTTTATCAAGTTTATCAGCCAAGGTTACATAGCCACAACGTTTTGGAAAGACTTTATCTCCAAAGCCTCTTAACATCCTAATAACAATCTCTGGTTGGTTAATGGTCATCATGTGACTGATGCAAGCCAGATCCTTTTATTTGGCAAAATTGTGATTAATAGTTAAATGTATTCCAATAAAATTTGAAACCGTTTGATCAAGACCCCCTTCAACTGTGCTAAACACACACTTAAAATGTGTCCATGGAGAGAGTCCGGCCCTTTTCCTTAGACAGATGATTTGCTCTGGGCTACATCAGCCAATATAGTACTAGTCCTTCTAGTCCTTCCACACAGGGCAGCTGTGGTTACAACTGTAGCTGCCTCCACCAGTGTGTGAATGTGAGAGTGAATGAATAGTGGAATTGTAAAGCGCTTTGGGTGCCTTGAAAAGTGCTGTATAAATCCAATCCATTATTATTATTATTATACTTATTTGAATCTAGTCAGTGTTAATGAAGCTTTGTGAAATAATAAAACTAAAAGCTAACTGTGATGTGTGTCTTTTTCACACAGACTCCCATCCAGGAATCTCTCATTCTCTATAATGACCCTGAAATCAATGAGTTATCTATTCAGTGTTTCACAAGTGAGTGTACCCACAATAACACATGGTATTATACATTGAAACTTTTTTTTCTGTTCTTTCTTCATCCACGCATTTGTCTGTCCTTTCAGACATGATGGAGTACATGGGAGACATGCCAGTGAGGAAGAACAGCAGCCAGCCAGAGTGTCTGAGGCAGATTCTTCTGGTGAGTGCATATTCAAACCGTTTCTGTAAGTTGGGTGGACTTTTGCTTTAATAGTAATGACTCTCTCACTTCTGTTCAGCTAGGGAAGGAAAAGGAACTGCTGAGGGATGAAATATTCTGCCAGGTTATCAAGCAAACTACCAACAACCCAAAAAAGTAAGCCTATCAAAAGTAAAAGAGTCTATTTAAAAGCCGTAAACTGCGATTGAACAGATTTGGGTTCTTAAAGAGATTTTTAATTTTTCAAATTTACTTTTGTTTACAAATTGCAAATGTATTCTTTGCCATTATTATCTGATCTTGAATCTGCAGATCCAGCTGTTCCTTAGGTTGGCAACTACTCAGTGTGGTGGCTGGCTTTTTCCCTTGCTCTACTACACTGCAGCCTTATATCACACGCTACCTCGATGACATCTCTCAGGATTATGTGCACCCATACCATGGTAGAGGAAGTTGTTTTGATGAGGAAAAAACTTATATGTCAATTTCATGTTTCAATAGCTTCTTCACTAATATGATGTCCTCCTCAGAACTGGCATCTTTGAGTCATGATAACCTCCAGCGCTCTCTTCGCTTTGGTGGTCGCCGCAATATCCCCTCATATCCCGAGATAGAAGCAATACTGGCAAGTTGACTTACTCACTCAAACAATACAAAGTTCTGATTGATCTGGCCTCATCATATGATAATGAATATTTCATATTACCACCCTTACAGTAGACTTTGCTCTCAGACTATAGACTTATTTGTGATTCTGACACTTTGTAAAAGTAGAATAAGATGCAGAGCTTTCAGTTATCAGGGCCAGCTCGGGATTTCGGGAGAAGATGCCTTCTTTTCTTTTCTTTTAAGATTAAGCTTTCATTGGATGAAAACTGTTATTTAGACTTTGATTAGGTGAATCATCCATTATTTAGGCTACTATTCATTTAGAGTGCTGGGGGAGTGCTTTTTTGGACACTCCTTTTTTTCACTCCCTATGTGTTTATGCTCCACTATTGCATGTCATTAACTTTTGCTTAGTCTCTCTATGTGTTTATATGTTTTGTTCCATTTGTCGTTCTTGTTCTCTCTATTTTCTTTTTTTTGTTTTTGTTTTTCTTCTCTTTCCTTTGACACCCAATCCAGCCACAGTAGATGACTGTGCCTCCTTGATACTGGCTCTGCCGGAGGGCTCTCCCTGTTCTTGGTTGTAGGGTCCTGACCCAGCTAAAAAAACAAAAAAAAGCCTTAAATGAACTGAATGTAATTAATTCAGCAGATCTCATTTTGAGTGTGTTTTCCTTTTCTTCAGGCTGGCCAAACTTCTATCTATATTCCTATCCACCTGCCAGGAGGAGTGGAATTTCCCATACAAATAAAAAACTTCAGTGTAAGATTTATTTATACATATTTATCCATCAGTAAAACCATCTTTATATTATTTATTATTAATATTCTATGGTGTAATTTTTATTGTTTCACATAGGTCACTGAAGATGTGGTAATGGAGTTGTGTAAAGAAATGGGCATCACCCAACTCAAAGAACTCAAAGAGTTCTCCATCCTTGTCATTAGACAACAAGGTAAACCAGAATAATGACATCTATGTCTGACACAGAAAAAAAAGGTCAACTCAAATTAAGTACTGTACTGTACAACTTCAAACTCCTGTCTTTAAAGCATTCTTTAAATCTATTATGTGCAAATATATCAAAAAATCTGCAATCCTATTTCTAAAAGGTAATTTGTAAATCTTTGAAAAACTATGCATAGCATATCACCTTCATGTATAAATATTTGTGCATGTATGTATAATATTAATAATATTAAAGTGTTTTTCTCATTTGAAATACATTTTTCATTACAAATTTAATGCCAGCAGAAAACTTTTAAAAGAAGGGTAGAACAGGCTCACATTTACT